CATGTTGTGTTAACTCGCTTTTTATCTAACACAAGTGCTCCACAATTTATCAACAATACTAATGAACAAATAAAACAGATAACTTAATTTAATTAATTTCATTTAATTAATTAAAATTATTATTTAGATAACTTATGTTTATTTGCTCTATGTAGATTTGTTTATTTACATTACTTCCATTCATCTAAAGCAGTGTTGACCCAACAGCGAATTCTACTATAATAGCACACATACATAACTCACTCAGATGTCTGTTCATGTTGTGATGTGCTCATCTGCAATTCTTTTAGAATATTTTCCTGTATCATATTAAATAGCCATTAAATCGTCTTTAAGATGTATATGGTTTATGTAAATGCACTTTGGTGACGTACGTGTGCTTACTGGAGCTACCCTGTTCGCTATACATAATAAAACATTTTTACATAAAAATCACAAATATACTATACTGTCTAGCAGGGTTGGGGAAAGTTACTTTTAAAAGTAATGCATTACAATATTGTGTTACTCCCTAAAAAAGTAACTAATTACGTTACTTAGTTACTTTTTATGGAAAGTAATGTGATACGTTACTTTTGTGTTACTTTTTAAATATGAGCAGGGCTTGATTGTTTTTAATATAAGAAGTTCTATTGATAGCAAATGTAAAAGCCCTTTCACACCAAAAATTGTAATGAATAAACCTCAGGCTGAAGGAAAAGTAAATTCACGTCTGTACAGTAGAACGCAGGTCAACACACACTCTTCAGCAATAAAAAAACAATGAAGCACAATTGTTAGTTTATCTAAAGTCATTTTTGCTTATTAGTATGGTTGAACTGGATCATCAAAGGTCAGCAGCAAAGACATTGGTTAATAAAATTGGATTAGATACAGTTGTGTTATTTAACATACTTAATTATTACAGGTTTGCGTCATATTCTGAGTTTGCATTTCACTGTTTTAATTCATTTTGATGAATACTAAATCTGTTTTTTTGAGTGGGATGAATTAATGCACATTCACATTTAGTCTAGAACTACAGTA